TTTAAAGGCAGGGCTGGGAAGTGAGCTCATTTATCCCCCTTTTTGCATGGATACAGCACCATCCTCCTTTCCATCCTCTCATTCCATAAAAAAAATCAGCATCCAAACCGGGATCCAGCTTGAAGAAGGTTTGGAAATGATTGGAGTACAATTTAGGGAATCACTCTGGTGGGAGCGTGTGCTGTAGTTTGGGGTTTTTTTTGAGGGAATTTATATCCACTCTGTTAATTTTTGGAATACCCTTGGATCTTCTCCAAAGGCAGAGCTAAGGTAGAGACAGATATTCCCAGAAAAAAAGACTCTTGGAGCATCTGTCCTTATTTCTGACACTTCTGATCCATGGATTTTGTTGGGATTTGTTGGAAAACTTTTAGGATCTTTGTGTCAAGGGATTTAGGGGTCAAATACCTTTCGCCTCGTCCTGTTTGGGATCATTCCCTCTTCAGTTGGTCATAATTGGGTGTTTGGGAAAATCCATGTGTCTGTGTAAAAACGTGGGATAAATTTGGCTGTATTTGAGATTTTCTGCGAATGATCCTGGTTGGAATTCCAGCAGGTCCTGGAGATTTGGGTGTGGAAAGTGGTTTTGCTGCAGCTCCTGTGTCTGGTGGCCTTTGGGCTCTTCCAAGTGGGTAGATGAGATAAGGAGGGATTTAATTTCAGGAAAATCATCTCTGGCTTCCACGGAAGTGTTTTATGGAAAACTATGGGATTTGGGATAATGAAGAGAGGTTTTATGGAGCCTGCTCCAGTTGTGGTTTTCTTGTGCTGCTCTCCACCTCCTCAAACTTCTGCTGGCTCTGTCCCTTGCTGGAATTCAGGGCCTTTCCTCTTTTCCTCTGTTTCCCTTCAAATTAAGAATTTAACCCACCTTTGGACGCTGCTCCATAAAAATCCCCAATTCTCAGCAGGATTTCGGGCGTTTTTTCCTGTTTTTCCATGTAGTGCCAGGTCTGTCCCCTCTAAGTGTTGCTGATTTTTAATAAAGATTTCCCAGTGAACTTGTGGATGCCCTAACCCTTGAAATATCCAGGGAAAAGTTGGATGAGGCTTGGAGCAACCTGGGATATAGTGGAAGGTGTCCCATGGCAGGGGTTGGATCTAAATTATCTTTATGGTCCTTTCCAACCCAAATCATTCCATGATTTCAATTCCCTTTTTGTTCTCCTACACAAGACATTTTCCTTAGCATGAACTATAAAATCCTGGGGGTTTTTTGGATTTTTTTTTTTTTTTTTGTGGAATAAAGTCTGGATCAGCTTATTCATCCCATCCCCACTCCACACCCAGGTCAGGCAGGTGGGTGATTAATCTGTCCTGATTTTTAAGAGGATCCTGGATGCTTAAATCCGCAGCCAAGCCAAGCTGCGGGCACAGAACCCGCTCCTGACGGGCTGTTAACCTTCAATCCTTGCGGGAATTCACTTTTTGTGGCTATTTTTCCCAGGAAAATGGCTGTGGATTACTTCCTGCACGACAAGATCTGGTTCGAGAAGTTCAAGTACGACGACGCCGAGCGAAGGTTCTACGAGCAGATGAACGGCCCCATGGGTGGCCCCTCCCACCAGCAGGTAATTCCCAATCCCAGGAATTCCAGAGTAAGTCAAAGGACATGATCCACCTGGATTTTTGTGGGATTTCCACTCTCAGTGCTGTTTATTTTTTCCCAAATCTTTCTGGACCTCTCTAAGCTGTTTAAGACCCGTTTGGTTTTTTTTTTCCTGCTGTTTTCTGTGGAATCTGAAAGATTTGATCCCAAGGAACTTGGAGATCCGGTGCCCTTCTAACAGGTGAACCAGTCCCAGCTTCCAGAAGTTATCCATAATTTTTTCCAGGCTGCTGGGATCTGTGGGGGCACAGTTTGAGCTGGAAATCCCCAAATCCCCAATTTTATTGGCAAAGAGCATCCCTGCCCCCCCTTCATCCAGGGAAAATGCTGCTTTGCTTCTGTTCTGGAGCAATCCTTTGGGATATTCCAAGGGAATACAAACCTAAAGTTTGAACAGGGGCAACAAAGCTGCAAAGATATTTTTGGGGGGTGGATTTTTTTATCCTTGTCTTTGTGCTCCTGGAAGTGTTCCAGTGGAAGAGTCTGTTCGTGGTACCGGTGAGTTGGAGAGGGGAAGGTGGAGGGGGGGAAGCATGATCCTGCTGAGCTGAAATATTTCCAGCTTCAATATCATCCCAAAATTATTCCTGATCCAAGGTTCAGAGCTTTCCTAACCTCTTCCTGCACCTAACTGCTTGTGCCTTTGGAATGCTGAGTGTTCAGTGCTTCTTTCCAAGTGTTTACAGGGAAGATTTTTTGCTGAAATTACAAACTTTTAGGCACATTCCAGCTATTCCTGCTGCCCATCCTGGCTTAGGTGCTGGCACAGCACCTGGGAAACGGGGAATAAAAAAAAAATTGGGAGCTCTGGATGAGTGCTGGAAGTAGGTTTTGGAGTGAAAACCCTCTTGGAACAGTTCAACTATTTCAAGGCACATCAGGAGCTTCCAGTGAAGGAGTTTGGCCTGGGAGAGGTGGTTTGAAGGATGTTTGGAGGAATTTATCAGCCACTTCCAGCATGGAAAAAATGTTCTTAAAACCTCCTTGGAAGCAGCAGGAAGTTGGAGCCCACCTGGATGTGTCCAGGCTGTTTTTCCTTTATTTTCTGCTTAACTCAGGATTTGGGGGTTTGTGGGAAATTTCACCTCTCAGGTGTTGCTGGTGAGGGTTGCAGTCTGGGAAAGGCAAGGAGTGAACAGATCATGGAATTTCCAGGGAGGGAATCTTGAAATCCAGGCTAAGGCATGGCAGCAGGGAGCATAGGGAAAAAAATTCCTGGTGTTCTGGGTGGATAGAGCAGAGTCAGGGTTGTCACTTCCTGCCTGAACTCGGGTAATAATACGGAAAAATCCTGCTGGAGGCTGAGTTTTTAAGGAGTTCTGGAGTCACTCCAACCTTCTGGCAGCATCCCAAACTTTTCAGGGTTAATTATAGGGAATTGAAAAGCTCTTTGACTGGATGATCCTTCTGTACACGTGACCAGGGATTGCCCAATTTAGCCCCAAATCCTTATGGCAAAAATCACTGAATCACGGAAAGGACAATTCCCAATTTTCCCGATTCCCTCGCTCCTCTTTCCTTTTGTTTTATATTTTTTAACTTCCTTGATGAATTTTTTTTTTATCCCCCATGTTTTAATACCTTTTTTTAAAAAAGAAACTCTTGGTTCTTTCTGCGCTGTTTGCAGGAGAACGGAGCCAGCACGATCCTCCGCGACATTGCCAGAGCCAGGGAGAATATCCAGAAATCGCTGGCCGGAGTGAGTACCCAAGCTCTCACCAGCTGGCTGCCTGCATTCCCATTTTTTTTTTCTTTCTTTTTTATGGAATTCTAATCCCAAAAATCATTTGGCTTCTTGGTTGGAAGGTAGAGGAGAAGACCAAGGTGTGCAGCTCCGCCCCGTCCCCACGCGCTGCTCGCCCGCAGCGCTGCTAAAACCGGATTTGGGTCAAAAGAATTCCCTAAATTTGGCTTTTCCTTCCCTTTTTTTTTTTAAATTTTTGTTTGTTTGTTTTTGTTGTTTTTCCTGGTGGGATGTTCCCATGGGTCTTAACTAACAGGTTCCAACTCGCTGAGCGTGTGGCTCTTTTTTTTGGGATACACTGGGCTGCCACCTTCTCTTCCCTGTTTTTCTTCCAGTTTAGGGGATGTGCAAAAAAAAAAAAAAAACCCAAAAAAATTGTGTTTTCCATCTGCTGCATCCAGGGAATTCAGCTTGGCTACAAGCTCTGAGGCTGGAGCATCCTGGAGGAGCTCAGGAATGTACTTTGTGGAGGTGTTTTTGTGCTGAGTGCAGACAAAACCATTAAAAAAATAATTTTTGTAAAAAAAAAGTTTAAAAGTTAAAATACTAATTAGTGGTTTTATGGGAAAGGAAAATCCATGGAATACAGCCCAAGTGTCTTGATTTCCTGCATCTGCAGTGGGACTCCCAAAGGAATCCATCCATTATTTGGTCTCATAATTCCCTCTTGGAATGTTTAGCACCCTCTGTTTCTATCTTTGATCAGTCCAATATCAGGGAATAACAAGGAATTCCCCCTTTCCCAAGGGGAATATTCCATATTCCTCCTTACACCAGCAGAAAGGAGCTGTACATTTGGGATGAATATAAGGAATCAGGATTTCAGCCAACAGCTTAAGGACAAATTTTCCTAAACTGGCTCATTTTATATTAAAAAAAATATGGCTAAAGGAGGCCGCCATCCCAAACAGGGTAAAACTAAAAAGTTCCTTTGGGAAGAACTTTTGGAATTGGGCAAGGAGCGGGGAATCTAAACCCAAATCACCCGGAAGTGCTGCTCATCCTCATCTTCCAGAGAATGCTTTTCCAAAGATGAGGAATTTCTTTACTGACTCCTGTGAAAGAGCTTTTTTGGGAGGGAATCCCAGAAGTTTGGATCATCCAGGTGTTGTCACAGGGAATTGGTAAAGCAACAGCCCAAGGCCAGGACAGGAATTTTGGGATATAAATTGTGTGGAGACCTTTTTGGGGATTAGTGATGTAAAAAAATTCCTCTGCTGGATGTGTTTTGTTCCTGGGGAAGGAGTTGGATCTTCTAGGTGGCTGAAAAATAGTCGGAATATCCCTCAAGGATTATAATTAATGTTGGGTAACCAGACTGGACATTAGAACATTCCTAAACTTCTTCCTTGTGTTCCCAACCCCCAAATTTACACTGTGTAATCCAGAGAAAAGTGGGAAAAGCAAAAATCCTAGGATTCTTGTCTTCCTTTCCTCCAGAGTTATTGTCAGGTGTCTTAGGATGTGGCAAGGGAAGAGCTGGCTGTGAAAAGATGGGAAAATGGGAGTTTAGTGCCTTTTTGCTGGGAATTCCAGGCTGGGATTGTGTTATAAAATGTAGGAATGAGCACTTGGAATATGATAAGAGTCTGGAGTTCCTTGATTGTGAGGAAAAGCAGGAAGTAGAACAGGAGATTCCACCTGGACGTGAGGGAAAATTTTATTATTTCTGATACTTAAAACTTATTTTAGGGATTCAAACTTCAGGGAATAACAGATGTTTATATCCCAAGCTGTTCGTCCGAAGTCCTGTTTTGTACCCTTCATAATTCCCAGGGATTTGATTTGTTTGGATAATTAAATTTATGCACAGTTCCAGCCTTCCCAAAGCAAAATATCTGATACAGGCTGCAGCTTTAAGGTGGGTTCAGCACAAAAATTATGGCTTAGAAATAAAGGATTTGAGGGCTTTATACAAAGAGTCAACTCCCCACCTCTGGAATTTTGAATTCTTATCCCCGATAAAATTCAGGCATGCTTGCGTGGAGCTGGAAGTTGGAGGAGGGAATGGTTTTTGTGTGCTGTAATGGAGGCGTGGTGTCCATATTCCCAAAGCTTGGAGCATCCTCTCCTCAGGGAAAATCTCACAGTCTCATAAAGACAATTTTTTCCATAATTTTTGAGGATTTGGGACACGGTTGTGCCTTCTTGCATTGTCTTACGGGTTCCAATTAAGATCTCTTGATCGCTTCAGCTTGGGACAGGTATCCATGTTCTTCCCATGCTCTTCCCTATTTTTTTTTTTGAGGAATTGTTATTGACAGGGAAATCTCAGCTTGTGCTGGCACTTCTGGGGCACCTCCAATCCTGGGATCAGTCTTGGGTCGTCATGACAAGAAGGACATGGAGGGGCTGGAGTGTTTTCCGTGGAAAGGAATGGATTGGGAAGGGTCTGGAGCACCAGGAGCAGCTCTGGGAGCTGGGAGGGTTCAGCCTGGAAAAAAAAAAAAAATGAGGCTCAGGGCGGGGAATCTTCTCACTTCCACAAATCCCTGACAGGATTCCCAAGTGGGGGAATCAGCATCTACTCCCAGGGAATGACAGGATGAGAGGAAACCACCAGAGGGGAAATTTAGCTGGAATATTAGGAAAATTCCTCATGGAAAGGGGGTGGAGTCCCCATCCCTGGAGGGATTAACATCCCTGTGGATGTGGCACTTGGGGACGCGCTCTGTGGTGGCCCTGGGGGAAGTGTTGGACTCGATGGGATTTTCCCCACCTCTGAAATTCCATGATTTCCATCCTTGGAGCATCTGGCATGGTGTGTTGAGCCCACAGCCCTGCACGAGCTCCCTGCAGACACCGAGATGTTTGTGGAGAAGATCCCAGAATTCCCGGGGGAATATTTGCCTGCAGTGTGAGGCTGTTTTCCCACCGCTCCGTAACTTCCCCTTGCATGCGGCTCCTCCCTGCGCTTGAGCTCCCTCTGGAATTGCAAAACCTTTCTCCCCATCTTCCCAAACTTTTTCCCCCCATCCTGCAGCAGAAGACCCCTGCTCGCAGCAAGGAAGCTCCTTGTGCCCGTCCCAAGAAACAGTCGGGACGCTCCGCTGTAAGTGAGCCGTGCGTGGATGGATGGAGCCTGTGGAAAAGTGGGAGAGGATTTGGTGGGGCGAGGATGGAGCAAGTTCTCCTCCCTCGGGGTTTGTCCTTTGGCGCTGGGATAAACCTGGAGAAGGGGATCTCTTCCCAGCCTCATCCTTGGAAGTGTCCAAGGCCGGGTTGGACACTTGGGATAGTGGAACACGGTCTGGATGATCCTTAAAATCCCAGCCTAAACCATTCCCATGATTCAGACCTTTCCTTGTGCCTTGTATTCTTCATCTTATCCCTGCTTATCCCCCTTTCCATCTTATGTGACTGCTGAAGTTCCACACTGGAATAAAAGAGAATAAATTATTCTCTCTTGATTTAGAAATGACAAATCAAGGGCAGATCCTGTTATTTTCTTTCCCTTTGTTGCCTGGAGTTGATGGATAAGGAACCTCCTTAGCCTTAAAAAAAAAAAAAAAAAAAAAAGAAAAAGCTCCTTTTTTTTTTTCTGTCAAAAAATCCATTGAAACCAGAGTTGGAATAATTATTCCCTCAGGATGTGTTAAAGCAGCTTGAAATTGTTAGGAATTAAAGGCTGGTCTGGGGAAGGTGGGAGTGTAGAATTCCTGGGATCTTTCCAGCTTTCCCAGTGTTACCTTAGGCAGGTCATTCCTGTCTCTCAGTGGGTTGGGAGAGGAGACTGGGGGACTCCAAGATTTTTAAGGGGCTTGGTGTGAAATTTTATATAAATTTTATGTGGGTTTAGTGGCATTTTGGGATCTGAGAGTGGGAAAAGTGATTTTATCCTTTGCTCCTTGGTGCCAGCTGAAATTCCTCGGGATTTAGTCCGTGCTTCACTGTATAGAGCTTCTCCCTTAGTTTCTGTCCTAATTTAGAGAAAATATCCTTGGTTTTAGTTCAGCTCCTGAACTTCCTCTCTCCCTGAAGACACAACTCTTGCTTTGCTTCATGGATTTTTTGGGAGGAGGGAAAACAACTCAGTTTCATCCCGGTTTTCCTCGTTGCAGAGTGCAAGCACAACCTCCTCTGGAGCTGCTGGTGACCAAAATGAGCTCCTGTCCCGAATTTCCCACCTGGAAGTGGAAAACCAGAACCTCCGCAGTGGTGAGTGGGAGAATTCCTTGTCCTGGCTGGAGACCTGACATGCAGCCGGGAATTTAAGGTGATTTTTCCTGTTTTCCCCTCCCTTTTCCCCAGTTGTTGCAGACCTCCAGACGGCCATTTTCAAGCTGGAAAGCCGCCTGAACGCTCTGGAGAAATCCTCAACTTCCCACCAGCCCTCATCTGTTCCTCCAACCCAGGTGAGCCTTGGCAAAATGCTGGAATTTTTCTCTAGGAATTACAACCGTAGATCCACATGGACAAATTTCCTGTTTTGATAAATCCATATAAATCCCAGAGCACGAGGATCGTTCACTGTCCTGAGCAGGGGAGATTCCCATCCCTGAGCTTTTTTTTTTTGGCTGCTCTGCTCCAACTCCAGGATGATATTTTCCCTCTTTTTCCCCTTAAAAAAAAACTTGGATCTGGTGAAGAAAGTGGAACCGTTCAGCGTTCCCTCCAAAAAAGTGGAGCTCCCGGCCAAGAAATCCGAGCCGGCTGCTGCCGAGGAGGATGAGGATGATGACATCGACCTTTTTGGGAGCGATGATGAGGAGGAAGACCAGGAAGCTGCCAAAGTCCGGGAGGAGCGGCTCCGGCAGTACGCGGAGAAGAAGGCCAAGAAGCCGGGACTCATCGCCAAGTCTTCCATCCTGCTGGATGTGAAGCCGGTGAGTGGCTTTTGGGATTTGGGAGCTCTGGGAGCGGGGCTGGGAATCCTCTCTCGTCCAAGTTGGATATGGTGGTGGCACCTCTGGAATTCCAGACAATGGCACCTGTGGAATTCCAGACAATGGCACCTGTGGAATTCCAGACAATGGCACCTGTGGAATTCCAGACAATGGCACCTCTGGAATTCCAAACAATGGCTCGGAGCCATCCCAAACAATGGCGCCTATGGAATTCCAGACAATGGCACCTCTGGAATTCCAAACAATGGCGCCTATGGAATTCCAAACAATGGCACCTCTGGAATTCCAAACAATGGCTCGGAGCCATCCCAAACAATGGCACCTGTGGAATTCCAAACAATGGCTCGGAGCCATCCCAAACAATGGCGCCTCTGGAATTCCAAACAATGGCACCTCTGGAATTCCAAGCAATGGCGCCTCTGGAATCCCAAACAATGGTGCCTATGGAATTCCAAACAATGGCAGTTGTGGAATTCCAAACAATGGCTCAGAGCCATTCTAAAGAGTGGCACCTGTGGAATTCCAAACAATGGCACCTCTGGAATTCTAAACAATGGCTCGGAGCCATTCCAAAGAGTGGCACCTGTGGAATTCGAGACAATGGCACCTGTGGAATTCCAAACAATGGCTCGGAACCATTCCAAAGAGTGGCAACTCTGGAATTCCAAACAATGGCTCGGAGCCATCCCAAACAATGGCGCCTATGGAATTCCAAACAATGGCACCTGTGGAATCCCAAACAATGGCACCTATGGAATCCCAAACAATGGCACCTGTGGAATTCCAAACAATGGCACCTATGGAATCCCAAACAATGGCTTGGAGCCAGGTGGGATTTGTTGTCGTGGAAGCTTGGAGTGGGTTTGGATAGATGTGACCTTAAATCCCATCTCATTCCATAGGCAGGGATACTTTCCACTCTCCCAGGTTGCTCCAACCTGGCCTTGGACCAAGGAGCAGCCACAGCTTCTGTGGGAATTCCATTCCAGGGCCTCACCACCCTCCCAGGGAGGAATTTCTTCCCAATATTCCATCTAATCTTACCCTGTTCCAGTTTAAAACCATTCCCCCTTGTCCTGTCACTCCGTCCTTGTCCAAATTCCCTATCCAGCTTTCTTGGATCTCCTTGAGGCACTGGAAGGGGCTCTGAGGTCTTCTGGAGCCTTCTCCAGCCAAGAAAGGGCACTTTGGATCAGTTGTGACATTCCCAGAGATGTCACCTGGATACCCCTTGGATGGTGATCTCCAGGTAAACACCAAAACCTCCCAATTCCCATTTTTCCAGTGGGACGACGAGACCGACATGGCCAAGATGGAGGAGTGTGTCCGGTCCATCCACATGGACGGGTTGGTGTGGGGAGCCTCCAAACTGGTCCCAGTGGGATACGGCATCAAGAAACTCCAAATCCAGTGCGTGGTGGAGGACGAGAAAGTCGGGACAGACATCCTGGAGGAGGAGATCACCAAGTTTGAGGACTACGTAAGTCTTGGAATGGGGATGTGGGAAGGGCCTGGAACCCATGGGATGGGGGGGGTTAACTCAGGTGTGTTTTCCTGGGAACACCTGGATGACTCCAGCTTTTGTCCCCTTCCAGGTGCAGAGCGTGGATATTGCTGCTTTTAACAAGATTTAGAAGGGAAAACTGTATCCCCCTCATCCGAACCTGGAATTAATAAAGATGAACATTGGGAGTGCACTGGGAGTTGGGTTTTTTCCCTTGGGTGCAGCTTCTCCAAGGGGATTTGATGGGAAATTTTGGGGCTAGTGGAAGGGTGTCCCTGCCTGTTGGCAGGGGATTGGGATGAGATATTTAAATTTTCTTCCAGTGTAAACCATTCCATGATTTCCCCATCCTTCATGGAAGGAAAGATCTCAAGAGGTGGACCTGAATTTTAGGGCTGGAATGAAGGTCTCAGGATGTTTCCAGTCACCTTTCCCAAGGTTTAGAGACCCCAGTCACTCCCTACAAAAAAAAAAAAACCAGGATGAATAACCAGGAAGCATCCAGGAACTGCTGGTTTGGGATGGATTTCATCCCTCTTTTCCCACTGCCTCCCTGCCCAGGCCCCTTTAGCTGAGCGTAGCCTGGGGAAGAGAGCACAGGTGACATTCCTGAGCACGGCCTGGCAAGGGGACAGGTGACATTCCTGGCTTTGGGAACACGAGGTCTGTCCCAGCGCCAGAGTCCAAGGTCTGGGGCCACCAAGGGACACGGGAGAGGCTCCATGGGATTGTGCTGTGAGGGGACAAGTGACATTCCTGGCTTTGGGAACACAGGTCTGTCCCAGCGCCAGAGTCCAAGGTCCTCAGGGTCCTGCCACCCCCAGAGCACTGCTGGCACCGCCCTTGTCCCCTGTGCTGCCATCCTGAGTAGGTGGTCCAGCTGCTGCCACGTGTGCCTTCTGTGTCCCATTCCTGTCGTGTCACCATCGCTGTGCCGTGTCCTCCATGTGCTGCCATCCCCTGTGCCCAGTGTCCTGCGTCTGTCACCATCCCAGTGTCACCCGTGTGCTGCCATCCCTGATGGCCTTTCCCCATTGTCCCCCGTGTCCCACTGCCCCTGGATCCTCCCTCTGCTGTCATCCCGGTCTCCCCCTTGTTCTGCCATCCCTGTGCCACATGTCCACTTGTGCTCTGCCACCCCGTGTGTGCCACTGTGTCACCAACCCTGGCCCGTGTGCCCTTGTGCTGCCATCCCCTCTGTCCCCTTGTGCTGCCATCCCCGCTGTCCCCGTGTCACCATCCCTGTGTCCCCTTGTGCTGCCATCCCTGCTGTCCCCGTGTCTCCATCCCCTCTGTCCCCGCGTCTCCATCCCCTCTGTCCCCTTGTCGCCATCCCCGCTGTCCCCGTGTCTCCATCCCCGCTGTCCCCGTGTCTCCATCCCCTCTGTCCCCTTGTCGCCATCCCCGCTGTCCCCGTGTCTCCATCCCCGTGTCCCCGTGTCTCCATCCCCGCTGTCCCCTTGTCGCCATCCCCGCTGTCCCCGTGTCTCCATCCCCGCTGTCCCCGTGTCTCCATCCCCGCTGTCCCCTTGTCGCCATCCCCGCTGTCCCCGTGTCTCCATCCCCGCTGTCCCCGTGTCTCCATCCCCGCTGTCCCCTTGTCGCCATCCCCGCTGTCCCCCTGTCTCCATCCCCGTGTCCCCCTGGTGCTGCCATCCCCATGTCCCCTTGTCGCCGTCCCCGTGTCCCCTTGTGCTGCCATCCCCGTGTCCCCTTGTTCTGCCATCCCTGTGCCACATGTCCACTTGTGCTCTGCCACCCCGCGTGTCCCGCTGTGTCACCCACCCTGCCCCGTGTCCCCCTTGTGCTGCCATCCCCGCTGTCCCCGTGTCGCCATCCCCGTGTCCTCTTATGCTGCCATCCCCGCTGTCCCCTTTTTCTGCCATCCCCGTGTCCCCTTGTCGCCATCCCCATGTCCCCCTGGTGCTGCCAGCCATCCTCGTGTCCCCTTGTGCTGCCATCCCCGCTGTCCCCGCGTCTCCATCCCCTCTGTCCCCGTGTCTCCAACCTCGCTGTCCCCGTGTCTCCAGCCCCTCTGTCCCCGCGTCTCCATCCTCGTGTCCCCTTGTCGCCATCCCCGTGTCCCCTAGTGCTGCCATCCCCGCTGTCCCCTTGTCTCCATCCCCGTGTCCCCCTTGTGCCGCCATCCCCGTGTCCCCTTGTCACCATCCCCGTGTCCCCGTGTCGCCATCCCCGTGTCCCCTTGTCGCCATCCCCGTGTCCCCTTGTGCTGCCATCCCTGTGCCACATGTCCACTTGTGCTCTGCCACCCCGTGTGTCCAGCTGTGTCACCAACCCTGCCCCGTGTCCCCCTGGTGCTGCTGTCCCCATGTTGCCATCCCCGCTGTCCCCTTGTCGCTATCCCCTCTGTCCCCTGGTGCTGCCATCCCCGCTGTCCCCGTGTCTCCATCCCCGCTGTCCCCGTGTCGCCATCCCCGTGTCCCCTTGTTCTGCCACCCCCGTTGTCCCCGTGTCTCCATCCCCGCTGTCCCCGTGTCTCCATCCCCTCTGTCCCCTTGTCGCCACCCCCGCTGTCCCCGTGTCTCCATCCCCGTGTCCCCCTTGTGCTGCCATCCCCGTGTCCCCTTGTCTCCATCCCCTCTGTCCCCCTTTGTCGCCATCCCCGTGTCCCCCTTGTGCTGCCATCCCCGCTGTCCCCTTGTCGCCATCCCCGTGTCCCCCTGTGCTGCCATCCCCGCTGTCCCCCTGGTGCTGCCATCCCCATGTCCCCGTGTCTCCATCCTCGTGTCCCCTTGTGCTGCCATCCCCGCTGTCCCCTTGTTCTGCCATCCCCGTGTCCCCTTGTGCTGCCATTCCCGCTGTCCCCTTGTCGCCATCCCCGTGTCCCCTCGCGCTGCCATCCCCTCCTGCTCCCAACCCCGCTCTTCCCTCTCCCTCCTCTCACTCCCCCGCTCCTCCCCGTGTCCCCACCCCTGTCCCCGTGTCCCCGCCCCGCCATGGCGCCGCTGGCGGACCTGTACCAGGTGTCCATGGCCTACGGGCACTGGCGGGCCGGGCGGCACCGAGCCCCGGCCGCCGCCGAGCTCTTCTTCCGCCGCCCGCCCTTCCGCGGCTCCTTCGCGCTCGGAGCCGGCCTGGCCGAGGGGCTGCGGGGGCTCCGAGCCTTCCGCTTCTCCGCTGCCGGTGCGTGGGGACAGCGGGGGACAAGGGGGGAAAGAGAGAGGCTTGTAGGGGACTGTCCCAGTGGCACTTGGAGGGACAAGCTCCGGGACGCAGGGTGGGACAGAGGAGAGGATGAAGAAGGGACGGGAGAAGCGTGGTGGGGAAGGGGGAAAGGGGAGGGAAGGGGGAACAACTCGAGGGGACCGAGGGGAGGATGAGGAAGGGACGGGGGAAAGGGAAGGGAAGGGGGAAAGGGGGAACAACTCGAGGGGATCGAGGGGAGGATGAAGAAGGGACGGGAGAAACGTGGTGGGGAAGGGGGAACAACTCGAGGGGACCGAGGGGAGGATGAGGAAGGGACGGGAGAAGCGTGGTGGGGAAGGGGGAAAGGGGAGGGAAGGGGGAACAACTCGAGGGGACCGAGGGGAGGATGAGGAAGGGACGGGGGAAAGGGAAGGGAAGGGGGAAAGGGGGAACAACTCGAGGGGATCGAGGGGAGGATGAAGAAGGGACGGGAGAAACGTGGTGGGGAAGGGGGAACAACTCGAGGGGACCGAGGGGAGGATGAGGAAGAGACGGGAGAAGCGTGGTGGGGAAGGGGGAAAGGGGAGGGAAGGGGGAACAACTCGAGGGGACGGAGGGGAGGATGAGGAAGGGACGGGAGAAGCGTGGTGGGGAAGGGGGAAAGGGGAGGGAAGGGCGAACAACTTGAGGGGACCGAGGGGAGGATGAGGAAGGGAAGGAGAAGGGTGGTGGGGAAGGGGGAAAGGGGAGGGAAGGGGGAACAACTCGAGAGGACCGAGGGGAGGATGAAGAAGGGACGGGAGAACCTTCCCAGGGAGGCTTTGGAACGAGTCCAGGGGACAGGAGGGGAAAGGGCGGAGGGTGAGGAAGGGACAGCGGGGGAGCGGTGGGAGGGACGCGGGGGAAGGGGGGAAATTCCTCCCAGAGGAGGATGGGGGAACAACTCAAGGAGACTTGGAAGGGATGGGACAGCATCCAGGGGGACTTAACGGGGCAGAGACATCTCTGAGCGATCTGGGGATGGGGAATTCTCCAGCGGGAATCCCTCAAGAGGACTTGAGGGGGACAGGGATGTCTCTCAGGGGGACCTGGGGGACTGCGGTGGGGGAGAGGTTCAGCATTTGAGGGGACTGCAGGGCATCAGGGCAGCTCAAAGGGACAGTGACATCTCTCAGATGAACTTAGGGAGACCCTGCAGGGGACACGGGTGGACACAAAGAGCCCTCAGGGAAACTTGGGGTGACACTGGGACACCCTCCAGAGATGTCCCTCAGCGGGGACTGGGGCCACCCCACCCTGTCGTGCTCCGTGCTGGGGGTGCTTTCACTCACCTGCTGTCACTCACCTGTCCATGGGAGGCTCGGTGTCCCCGCGGGTCCCTTGTCCCTGGTGTCACCCTGCTGTCCCCACAGACGTCGCCTACCTGCGCTCTGTCCTGCCCAGCACCATAGATGATGCCTTCTTTGACTACCTGGCCACCCTGGACGCCTCCGAGGTGACCGTCACCGCCATTCCCGAGGGCTCCGTCGTCTTTGCCAGGGTGGGACCCCCTTCCATCGTCTTTCCCGACCATCCCAGCTCCCAGACCTCCCTTTTTCCTTGAACCTGGGATGCCCTGGAACTCCAATCCTGCTTTTCCTAGTGCCCCTCCTTTTCCCTGACCCTGGGAGCTCCTGGACCCCCATTCCCACCTTCCCACCCACCCCCTTTCCTCAACACCATGCACCCCATCCTGGCCATCCTGGGTGTCTCCACCCTGTGACCCCCTTTTCCTTCACACTGGAACCCCTTTCCAGGGCACAGGGACAATCTGGACCCTCATTCCTGGGCAATAGGATCCCCCTGCACCCCCTTCCCTGGCACTGCAATCCCCTTGTGCCCCCTTTTACTTCACCAACATCCCCCTGCAACCCCTTTCCTGCCCATCCCACCTCTCCCAGGTCCAGGCCTTCGCTTTTCCTTGACTCTGGGATCCCCTGGACCCCCATTCCTGCCTTTCCCAGCTCCTCCCTGCTCCAGAGGGACCGGGATGTCGCTTCTGTTCCCGCAGGTGCCGTTCCTGCAGGTGAAGGGGCCGCTCCTGGTGGTGCAGCTGCTGGAGACCACCTTGCTGTGCCTGGTCAACTACGCCAGGTATTTTGGGATGGGGATGATGCCAAAGCCCCTGGAAGATGGAGAGGGGCAGGGAAAGGAGTGCAGCACCCCCCAATCCAAAGGGAGGTGGGAGGCTGGGGACAGCCCACAAGTTCCCTACTGGAATTCAACTGCTGGAATTCTACAAGTTGAATTTAACTACTGGAGGGTGTCCCGCTGTCCCCCTAAGTTTTCCTGAGGGTTTTCCATGTCCAGCCCACCCTGTGGTCTCTCCTGAAAGGTCTCCCTGTCCCTCAGGTTCTCCTGAGAGATGTCCTGATCCTTTAGATCTCCCTGTCCCCCAAAGTCCTCTTTGGTCAATTTACCTGTCCACTGAATCCCACGGTGATCCTGGCGTTGTCCAAGCAGGGAGGGCTCTGGAGCCCCTTCCCCTTGGCTGTGCTGGCTCTGTGTGACCTGTCCCCTTTGTCCTCCAGCCTGGTGGCCACCAACGCTGCCAGATTCCGTCTCCTCGCCGGCCCGGACGTGAAGCTGATAGAGATGGGGCTCCGCTGCGCGCAGGGGCCGGATGGAGCCCTCTCCGCATCCAGATATTCCTACATCGGGGGTGAGTCCCACCCCACGGTGCCCGGTGCCACCGTGGCCCTGCCATCACCTGGCTGTCCCCCCCTGTCCCTCCTCGCAGGCTTTGACTGCACCAGCAACATCCTGGCGGGAAAACTCTACGGAATTCCGGTGCGCGGCACCATCGCTCATTCCTTCATCATGTCCTTCAGGAGCCTGGAGGAGGTGCAGGCACGGGTGAGCAGGGGGCTGGGATGGGATGGGAATGAATTTTGGGATGAGGACAGGGGTGGGGATAGGGATCTCATGGAGTTGGGGATGTAGAGAGGGATGGGAATGGGTTGGGATAGGGCTGGGGATTGGATGGGGGAGGGATTGCGCGGGGCTGGGGATGGGATGTGGATGAAGATGGGATTTGGGTGGAGTTGGGATGGGGATAGGGATGGGCAGAGGGAAGTGGGGTAGGGATGGGGTTTGTACGGAGTTAGGAGTGGAAGGAGATGGAAGGGAGATGGGATAGGGATGTGGTGGGAATCGGGGTAAGGGGGGATGGAGATGGGGATGGGTTTGGAATGAAAATGTGGGATTAGCTAGGGGTGGGAATGCAGACAGGGTGGGATGGATGGGGAATGGAACACTCCATCTGTTCCCACACTCCTGGCACCCTGGATGATGCCATGGGCTGTACAAATCCCATATTCCCAAACTCCTGGCACCTCGGATGATGCCACGGGCTGTGCAAATCCCATATTCCCAAACTCCTGACACCCTGGATGATGCCACAGCCCGTACAAATCCCATATTCCCAAACTCCTGGCACCTCGGATGATGCCATGGGCTGTACAAATTCCCCTGGCAGGAGCTGCCGCCTCGGGCCGGAGGAGATCCCGTGGATCTGGCAGGCCTGGCTGTGTCCTGGCTGCAGCGGGTTTGTGACCTGCTCCGGACTCCTCCAGGCAAGGCCAACCAGGGCGAGCTGGCCGCCTTCGTGTCCTACGCTGTCACCTTCCCGTGTGACTTCCAGGGATTGCTGGACACCTATTGTGTCAGGAGGTGAGGACTCCAGGACTTTGTCCCTCCTCGTTGGTGGCCCTTGAAGCAGGAATGTTGGCTGGAGCAGGGCTTGGAAATAATGCTGGATCCACCTTGGATCTGTGTTCCAGTTGTCATTAACGCTTTCCCTGCCCGTGCCAGGAGTGGTTTGCCCAATTTCTGTGCCGTGGCCTTGGCACTGCACCAGCTGGGATACCAGGCCATCGGAGTGCGCCTGGACAGTGGGGACCTGGCCCAGCAATCCAAGGAAATCCGGGGAGTGTTCCAAGCCTGCGGAGCTCAGTGAGTCCCATGCCAGCTCTGGGATGGATGTCACTGATCCCTGTCACCCTCACCTGCATCCAGCCCCTCATCCTGCCAGAATTTGGGAGCCCTCATGGCTCTGGGTACCCAAATCCTGCTCCTTCCAGCTTCCAGGTGCCCTGGTTTGGGACCATCCCCATCGCTGTCAGCAACAACATCAGCGAGCAGAGCCTGGAGGAGTTCGGGAGGGAGGTGAGGAACCTGCTGGCATGGCTGGGATGTCACCTGGGTGGTGCTGACAGGGTTGGGATGTCACCTGGGTGGTGCTGGCATGGCTGGGCTGTCACCTGGGCTGTCCCTGGTGCTGGCAGGGCTGGGATGTTGATGGTCTCTGTCTTCTCGGCTGCCTCAGGGGAGCGAGATCGACATGATCGGCATCGGGACCAACCTGGTGACGTGTCCCCTGCAGCCATCGCTGGGCTGTGTCTACAAGGTAAAGGTGGCAGCCTAAATCCCAAATAATCCCAATCCTCACTGAGCCACTTCCATGCCTGCTCCATGGCCATCCAGCCCCACTGGAGTCACGGAGTCACAAAAGAATTTCCCCTGGAAGGGGTTTTTGAAGGTCCTCCACCACCATGGGCAGGGACACATTCCACTATCCCAGGTTGCTCCAAGCCCCATCCAGCCTGGCCTTGGACACTTTCAGGGATGGGGCAGCCACAGATTCTCTGGGAATTCCATTCCAGCCCCTTGCCACCCTCACAGGGTGGAACTCCTTCCCAATATCCCATCCAGCCCTGCCTCCTGGCAGTGGGAAGCCATTCCTCCTCATCCTGTCCCTCCATCCCTCATTCCAAGTCCCTCTCCAGCTCTCCTGGAGCCCCTTCAGGCACTGGAAGGGGCTCTAAGGTCTCCCTGGAGTTTTCTCCAGGCTGGACATTCCCAGCTCTCCCAGCCTGGCTCCAGAGCAGAGGGGCTCCAGCCTTGGAGCATCTCCGTGGCCTCCTCTGGTCCTGCTCCAGCAGTTCCACGTCTTTGTGATGTTGGACCCCAGGGCTGGAGCAGCTCTGCAGGTGGGGCCTCACCTGAGCTGGGCAGAGGGGCAGAATTCCCATTTTTCCTGCTGCCCACGCTGTGGGATCAGCCCAGGACACGGGGAAATTCCAGGTGCCAGTGCTGGGTCATGGCCAATTCTTTGCCCACCAGAAGCCCTCCACAGGCAGGAGGAGGCAGAATACCCAACTTTGGGGTGGTTTTAGGGTTTTTTAATTGCCTTTTTTCAGCTGATTTGCATCAGTTGCCTCCCCAGAGGGGTCACGGGTTCCCTTCCCTTTTCCCACAGCTGGTGGAGGTCAATGGCTCCCCATGCCTGAAGCTCACGGAGGATGAGGAGAAGATGACAATCCCGGGGATGAAGACCATCTATCGGCTCTATGACGCTGCTGGTGAGTCTGGAGACCCTTCCCAGAGTCCTGGGGGGAATCTCCTGCCCCATCATTCCATCGCTGATGTCCTCCTGGCAGGCCACCCCTTCATGGACCTGATGGCCCTGGAAGAGGAGCCGTCCCCCAGCGCGGGGCAGGAGCTGGGGATCCGTGTCCTGGGGCGGCTTGGGGAGACCACCAAGGTCATTCCCACCACCGTGGAGCTCCTCCACCGCACCTACTTCAGGGATGGCCAGGTCAGGGGTGGTCCCATCTCCTCTTCCACGCTGGAGGATGGATCAAGGGCGGTGGTGGCTTCTGAGATGTGCCAACAACTCTGGTGCCAGCCCGGACGCGGTGGCTCGTTGGGATTGGTGCTGGGTGGTGGCTTCCCACATGGATCTTCCCACATGGATCTCCATCCCTGCAGGTGTGTGAGCCCCTGCCCAGCCTGCCCGAGGTGAGGACCCACGCCCAGGTGTCCCTCAACCTGCTCAGCCCCGCTCACCGCCGGCTCCACGAGCCACAGCCCTACCCGGTATGTCCAGCGCTTCCCACGTCCCACTGGCACACACCTGGGAATGCCACTGGATTTGGTGGCCTGAGCAAAGCCACCACGGAGCTGCTCCCTGACCCCTCTTGTTCCCATTCCCAGGTGGCCGTGACGGAACGGCTGCACCAACTCTTCCAGGAACTGAGTCAGGGCAGCCACTGAGGGGGTCCCTGCTCATCCCCAGCTCCTGCTCCGCTCTTTTTTGGGAAGCCCAGGTGCCTCGTTAGGAATTAACAGCTCTAATTTAGACCTTTCCGCTGCCTGGTGCTAACACGAGGAACCTGCAGGAACTGGGGGAGCGCCCTGGGGTCCCGGTAGGGAAGCTGGGAACACAGGGATGGGGAAGGCAGAGGTGTCCCTGCATCCCCTGGAAGTGACAGTCCTGTGCCCAGCTTGGTGGCCCTGCCATTCCTGTGCCTTCCCTGGTGGCCCTGCAATCCCTGTGTCAAATTTGGTGGCCCTGCCACTCCTGTGCCTTCCTTGGTGGCCCTACCAGCCTCGTGCCTTATCTTGGTGGCCCTGCCATTCCTGTGCCTTCCTTGGTGGCCCTGCCACTCCTGTGCCCATCTTGGTGGCCCTGCCATTCCTGTGCCCTCCCTAGTGGCCCTGCAATCCCTGTGTCCAACTTGGTGGCCCTGCCATTCCTGTGCCTTCCTTGGTGGCCCTGCCACTCCTGTGCCCATCTTGGTGGCCCTGCCAGCTCTGTGCCCTCTGTGGTGGCTCCCCATCCCGAAGCTCCTTGGTGGCACTAGAACGAAGTCTGGGGTGCCACCAGAAGGGTGACATGGGACACCCATTGGACACCCATGGCCGACAATCTTTGCTTTGGCAATTCTAAGCCTCATCTCTGTGGCCACGTTCCAACTCTTTCCATTCTGGCCAAATTCCCTGGGATCTGGAGGCCAGGTCCAGGCTGATCCCAGCTCCAGGATAATCCCAGCTCCAGGCTGATCCCAGCTCCAGGTTGATCCCAGCTCTAGATTGATCCCAGCTCCGGGTTGATCCCAGCTCTAGATTGATCCTGGCTCCAGGATGATCCCGGCTCTAGGATGATCCCAGCTCCAGGCTGATCCCAGCTCCAGGCTGATCCCAGCTCCAGGTTGATCCCAGCTCCAGGATGATCCCAGCTCCAGGCTGATCCCAGCTCCAGGATAATCCCAGCTCTAGATTGATTCCAGCTCTAGGTTGATCCCAGCTCTAGATTGATCCCAACTCCAGGCTGATCCCAGGTCCAGGCTGATCCCGGCTCCAGGCTGATCCCAGCTCCAGGTTGATCCCAGCTCTAGATTGATCCCAGCTCCGGGTTGATCCCAGCTCTAGATTGATCCCGGCTCCAGGATGATCCCAGCTCTAGGTTGATCCCAGCTGCAGGTTGATCCCAGCTCTAGATTGATTCCAGCTCTAGGCTGATCCTGGCTCCAGGCTGATCCCAGCTCCAGGTTGATCCCAGCTCCAGGATGATCCCAGCTCCAGGTTGATCCCAGCTCTAGGATGATCCCAGCTCCAGGTTGATCCCGGCTCCAGGATGATCCCAGCTCCAGGCTGCCACCTGCACTCTAACCCCTGTTCCCACAGGAAATGTGGCTCTAACCCATAATGAGCTTCAGACTAAGCAAAAAATTTAAAATAAAGGCCTTTTCCCACCCTAATTCCAGTGAAAAATCCTTTGAAGCTCCATGGGGAATGGGAAGGTGAGAGGGAAATCCCCAGGGATCAAAGCTGTGGCTTTGCTGTCTGTCCTTCTCTCCGTGGTTTGGATCTTGGCAGAAATTACAGAGAAGAAAATTAAGAGCTTAACAAAGCATGGCCTGATGGTCTTGGATTTCTGGGAATTCCAACAGCATTGTATCCCATTTTAAGACAGGAAAATAAAAAAAAAAACCCAAAAACGACAGGAAATCCATGATCCGTTTGCTAAAAATTAAATTTTTTTTTTTTCTTTTAAGCAAAGCACCAAAGATAAGGAGTCCATAGTACCTGAGTAGAGATTTTCCTGGGTTTTTGGGAGAGGAGAAATGTGGAACAAGGAGAGTGACCTGTGCCAGCATTTGTCACCCTCACGGATAAGATGCAATTCCTGATGTTTAGGAACCATTTTGGTGGGCAGAGAAGTTCCTGGATGTCTCTGCACTTTCTCCTCAGGTATTTATGGATATTGAGGAGATTTCCTGAGCCTTTTCTTCTCCAGGCTGGGCAATTCCAGCTCCCTCAGCCTCTCCTCATAGGAGATGCTCCAGTCTCTTCATCATCTCTGTGGTTTTTCCTTGGATTTTGTCTCTCACCTACTGGGGAGCTCCAAACTGGACCCAGTATTCCAGGTGTGACCTATCAGAGCCGAGAAGAGGGAAAGAATCCCTCCAGGACCTGCTGGCAACTCTTGGAATGCTGGAAAGATCCCAAATCACGCATCCCAAGCCACCAGGACCGATCCAAATATCCAGGCTTTGTTAAAATTACTCCACTCTGGATTAAAGAGGGAGGAAAAAAAGCAGGAACAGGGTTAAACCTGCACATCTGGGACTCCTGGCTGCTCTCCTTGAGGTTTTTGTGGAATTTGGGCATCCCACTGATTCAGCTTCCCACTTTAATAGCAGAGAACCCCCAAGTTTACAAATTTATTTAACTTAAGGAACACTAGTTCCCACCCAAACCCTAAACCCTCCTGCAGAAAACCCCAGAGTGCTTTTTTTTTTTTTTTTTTCCTATTTTTGCCCTTGGAATTCTGGTCTTTGACCCCAGAACCTGGAAGTGGATGCAAAGATGGGACAGAAAGTGCTAAAAGTGAGGATGTAACTCTGAATCCTGTGCAGATTTGGAAGTGGATGCAAAGATGGGACAGAAAGTGCTAAAAGTGAGGATGTAACACTGAATCCTGTGCAGATTTTGCCAAGAAGAGGAAGCAGCAGGAGGCCCAGATGTTGCTCCTCTGCTCCCATCCTCCTTCCAGTTTTGTTCTTGGAAAAAATATCTGTTTTTAAAGCATAGCTTCAGCTCAGGATCTCTGTGACTGGAAATTAGGGATGGTGGGTAAAACCAAAAAAAAAAAAAAAAAGTTTGTGCTGGATAAGGGAAGTGCAGGGAATTGAGGGGCACAGGTGAGGAAAATGGACCCTGACCTGATTTTTCTCACTCCACAAATCCAGGTAAGGATGTCTTGGGAAAGGTTGTGGTTTCTTGGTAAACCTGTGGATAATTCCTTGTGTTTTGATCTCTGCTGGTCCCCAGCTTTGGAGGGAAAGGATGGCAGGGAAACAGGGATGTGGGGATGCTCCAGCTGCTGAGTACCCAGAGAGGGAAAATTGTGGAATGTGGGGAATGAGAACGAATTTGAGCATCCATAACTCCACGTCCAGCTGTGCCCAACAACCAACCACCACTGGATAAAGCCAGGATTTAACAAACCCAGCCTGTCTTGGATAATTTGACACCAAGAGAGGTGAGAAGAGGCAGCTCAGAGCACCCAGACTCGTCTGCTTCCAGTCCCATCCTTCTGGGATGATCCAAGCTCCCATTCCTGACGGTGTCACTTGTAAAGTGCCATTTTCCTGCTCTGGTACAGGTACATGTAGGCGTCACAAAAGAGGCGTTTGGCCACCCCATCCATGTCCCGAGGCTGCTCCAGGGCCAGCACAGCCAGGGGCAAGTCCAGGTATTTGGCAACTTCCGGGCACAGCGTCACCGTGGGGATGTTGAAGCCGTTTTCACCACCTAAGGTGGGAAGGAGGAGAAAAATCCCAAACCAGATCCCAAAGGGATGAGTTCCTACAGCTCCAGCAGATGCCAGCACACTCAAGAGTCATGCAGAGCCTCAGCTGGGAGATGTGGAAGCCAAAAGCATTGGAAGAAGCTGGATGAGGAGAGACCATTCAACCTAAAGGGGCTCCAGGAGAGCTGGAGAGGGATTTTGGACAAAATATGGAGGGACAGGACACAGGGAATGGCCTCCCACTGCCAGAGGGCAGGGATAGATGGGATTTTGGGAAGGAATTCTTCCTTGTGAGGGTGGTGAGGAGCTGGAATGGAATTTCCAGAGGAGCTGCCCCATCACTGGAATTGTCCAAGTCCAGGTTGGATGAGGCTTGGAGCAGCCTGGGATAGTGGAAGTTGCCCATGGCAGAGGGGTTGGAACTGGATGAGTTTTAAGGTCCCTTCCAATCCATTCCACAATTCCATGATAAAAGCACAGTGGGGAAGGACAGGAGAAGCAATCTGTGCCCACAAGCTGAGCCAGCTGGGATAGGATCCCAAATCCCTTTGTTTGACCACAACCAGCAGCTGGAAGCACCTGGAAAAACTCCCACCTGCTTGGCTCGGCCCCTCGGGATTGGATCCTAATTAAAGGAAAGCCAAATCCACGGAAAGCCTAAATAGGGGAGCTTGAGAGGAAAAGGTGGACTGAGCAGGCCTTGGCAGCTTCCCACATCCCATTCCCACATCCCATTCCCATTCCCTCACCGTGCCGGTCGGCCATGCTGTCGAAGAACATCCAGTGCTCGTTGGCAGGGCCGTACTTCACGAAGGACACGTAGTGACTGGTCTCGATGCAGAGCACTGCAAACAGCTCCAGCTTCTCCCGTGGCACCTGCTGGCAGCCCCGGGCGCTCCAGCTCTGGAATTCCTCTGGAATGTGCAGCCTCCTGGGTTTGTGTGCCTTGCGGCGGCGATGGGAGTGAACCTGAGGAGAGGGGACTGGGTGGCATTGGCAGAAGTGGCCCTGGCTTGCCAGGAAGTGGGGGCAGAGGTCAGATTCCAAATTTATTCCCTGCTGGTGTGATTCCCCCGTGCTCCCTGCTCGCCTGGGAATGGTGTTATGGGAGCTTGCCACCCTGCGAGAGGCAGAAACTGTGGGAATGCTGATGGAGAAGCAGCAGGGAGGGACCAGCACTGAGTTCCTGCAGGGATTACACCTTATCTATGGAACAGGCTGTCCAGGGAAGCTGTGGATGCCCCATCCCTGGAATTGTCCAAGGCCAGGTAGGACAGAGCTTGGAGCAACCTGGGATAGTGAACAGCATCCAGAGGGTGGAACTGGAATGAGCTTCAAGGTCCTTTCCAATCCAAGTTTTTCTATGATTCCATTATTATTCAGGCTCTGTGTAAGCAGAGTTTTCACAACCTCTGTCTCCCGGTGGGAATGACCCTCAGGAAAGGGCTGAGCAGCTGCAGAGACAGCCAGGGGAATTGTGGGGATTTTGGGAGCTTCCAAGGTGGATTTTGGGAATAGCCATGGAATACCTGTCTGGAGCAGGAGCTGCAGAACTGCTTCAGGCCCCTGGCCGCGAACACCTTGTCCTTGAAGCACTCCGAGCATTCCAGAGTGGCAACATCTCCACACAGGCAGCATTCCCTGGGACCTGCCAGGGAAGCAGAGCTCAGAGGGGGAGTTTCTCCTCCAGATCCCACCTAAAATCCAGCTTGTCCTGCCAAAACTGGGACTCCAGGAAGAAGAATCCCACCCGAGAGAGCCCAGAGCTGGTTGCTCACAGCCCACTGTCCATCACTCACTGTCCAGCAGCAGATCTGTTATATCCAGCTCCAAAGAAGGGATGATTTTGCTGAACATTTTATATTCCTTCCCAAAACGTGGCATTTGGATAATGAAGCAAGATGGGATCTGGGAAAAAAAAAAAAAAAAGGGGAAAATCCCAGAGATTTTTTTTTTTTGCTGTCTCAATTTGCTGTCATTATTCACAGGACAAAAGGGAAACAGGAATAGCAGAGGCCTTTTCCTAAGTCATGGATTCAGTGCTGGATATAAAACATCCAAGGCCTCACAGGTATTTTGGGAAGCAAGAAAAGCAGGAAAGCAGAAGGAAACTGGACTGACCTCCACCAGCTTCAGGTCTGAAGAGAGAAAGGAGCGTTCCACCAACTGCTGCACGTCAGGAACCACCAAGTCCTCCTGTTTATCCATAAATATCTGGTAGCAGTAACATTCCTGCTCCTTCTGGCCTCCTGACCTGCAAGGAGAGCTCATGGGATTGGGGACGTGGCGAAACAAAAATTGGACTTTCCCAAAGTTTGTCCTAGGAGAGCTCCTGGGCTCAAGGCACCGAGGGTAGTTTAGTGCAACACAAAGCCCTTTTTCCACCCAAAAATACCAAATCTATGCCAGGGGAGCAGTAGATAAGTAGGAATTTTGGCCTCATTATCCCTTTGGAGCAACATTCCATCTCCCCTCGATATAAATCCAACAGATAATTTTTGGTATTAGTAAATGCAGTATTTAAATTGACAAACGGATGCTTCCATGAAGGATTAATTAAAAAACGCATCCAAAAAGCCAAACTCAAGGTGAGCGGTGTGCAGATCTCCCACAATCCCTAAAGAAAGCAGGGAAAGGATTTCCTTGGGATGACCCCGTGCAGGGGAGCTGCAGCACAGAGTCCTCTTTGTGCTCGGCCTTTCCCAGCACTCCACGATCCACGGCTCGAGCGGCGGCTCCACAAAGGAGCACAGAAATCCAACAATTCCCTTTCTGTGCTCACAAACAGCGCAGTTATTTTTGGCTTCCTCCAGCTTCTCATCCTCTTTGTAGAGTCCCCAAAAAACTGGGACTGCATCCATGGGCTGCCTGTTTTGAGAGGCTGCAGGAGCTGAGCCAGCTTGGCAGCCTGGACACATCCCAAATTCATCCAAAGGCTGTTGGATACCGCTGGATCTGCCCTAAAGTTGGGCATCACCTTTCTCAAACCCCTTCTGGCTCTCCCTGAGGATGGCACAAGGTTTTTAGCCTGATTTTCTGAAGGCAGCACCCTCCAGGGAGGGATAAGAAATGTCTTTTCCCAGATGGGAAGATCACAATAAGCAGGATCAGAGTCTGTTCCTAAGGAGCTGTGAAAAACTCAGAGCTGTGATTCCAAAAAGACTTCGGTAGAAAGGGATAAGTGACCCCCATCTGCCCAGGCATTCTGAGGTGGAGAATTAATGAGCCTGGCCCTGGGAATTGTATCCCTCAGCTGTGGAAACTTACTGGAGTTTCAATAGTGGCTCAATTCCCAGGATCTGCTGCATTATGAGATTGAGGAACTCCTCAGGATCTGGAAAGGGAGAGGAAAGGATGGATCAGACCACACCAGAACTGCCTTGTCCCACTGCATCCAAGGGCTGCCAGGTAAACATGAGCCAGTGTTCCAGGGGCCTGGAATTTTCTCTTCAGGTTAGGGGACGATTGGGATAAAGGCTGAGTGTTGCCCTGATTTTTAAAAGCATTAAATTTTCTTTTATAGTTATTTTGAAAGTTTTAAAGTTTTCATAAAACTTCTTTAGCCTTCTAATAGTGTTTACACATTTCTACTAGAGTTCTCACGCACTGTTCATGTAAATAATGATTGTTTTACATTCTTTGTGAGAAAAGAGAGAATTAACAGACTGTTAGTTTGACCAGTGTGGTTGGAGAGGTGGCGATTTCATCCTCCAATCCACTGTCACTTTTAGAATTCTATATATTGCGAGATCAGAAATAAAATTAAGTCTTTTTCGCTTTTAAACTTACCAAGCTTCTGTGTACTCATTTTTTATCCAGTAACAGAAGCCGAGAGCACGTGGCTAAGGCACAAATCCCAAAGGGAACATGGAAAATGCCAAGCAGCCTTCAGAGACTGCACTTCCATGGAATTCCAGGATGGTTTGGGTGGGAAAGGACCTTTGAGATCACGGAATTACAGCCATTGCCATGGAAGGATCACGTTCCATTGTGCCAGGCTGCTCCAAGACTCATCCAACCTGGACTTGGACAATTCCAGGGATGGGGCAGCCACAGCTTCTCTGGGAATTCTATCCCAGCTCCTCACCACCATCACAAGGAAGAATTCCTTCCCAAAATCCCATCTAACCCTGCCCTCTGGCAGTGGGAGGCCATTCCCTGTGTCTTGTCCCTCCATCCCTTGTCCCAAGTGCCTCTCCTGCTCTCCTGGAGCCCCTTCAGGCACTGGAAGGGGCTCAGAGGGTACAGAGGGATTTAGAAGCTGAAAGAATTCCACAAGTGAATTTTTACGCCAATTAACATCAGCACCTAATTTAAAGCACATTCCTGGGAGAAGCAGAAAGGGAAGTCACCAGCTGGGGCCTGGATGAGACAAAACACAGGGAAGCAGCTGGGGAAAGGCCCCAGGGAGCTCCTTACCTTTCTCAGCGTTGGTAAAGCTGGAGCACTGGCCCTTGTCCGTGAGCTGCTCCCGGAGGTGCATCACACTGCTGGCCCTGACAAAGCCAGTCCTGGGAACAACAACCAGCTGCAGGTGAGGGAAATCATGGAATGGCTGGGCTTGGAAGGGATCTTCATCCAGTTCAACCCCCTGCCATGGGCAGGGATGCCACCAACGAGACCGGGTTGCTCCAAGCCCCCACCCAGCCTGGCTTGGGACACTTCCAGGGATGGGGCAGCCACAGCTTCTCTGGGAATTCCATTCCAGCCCCTCACCACTCTCACACAGAAAATTCCTTCCCAATATCCCATCTCAATCCACGCTCTGTCAGTTTGAAACCATTCCTCCCTGTCCTGAACACCTTTGGATGCGGCTGCCAGGTTTCCCTCGGTGCCGGGCACCACCTTTAAGGCAGCAGGGAAGGAATGAAGGCAAAATGGGACAAATTCCAGCATTCCCTGCACTCACCTACGGAGGGGATTGACAATCTCATCCCGCAGAATTCCCTGGACATTCCTGTCACACAGTGGGAAGGGCATGAAGAGCATGGAGTCCAGCACGGAGGTACAGGAGAAGAGGCTGTGGGAAGAGTGGGATGGGTTTGAGTTTGAGGGCTTGGAAACAACAGCTGGAACCAAAATGTGGTGGCTGGTGATAGTCAATGGTTTTGATGCCCAACAATCCATGCATGGAATTACAGGGAGGTGAGGGAAGCACATCTGCACAGTGAGGCACATCTGGAACAATGAAGACTGCGATAAAGCAAGGGAACAGCTCAGGGAGAAGGAAATTCCTACTTTGCAGCCAAAACTGCTCAGGGAAGGGCACCACTGAGTCTTTTCCTCTCCAAGCAGGGAAGCTGGGACCTCCTGGGTGGGTTCTTTGGAATGATTCCAGCCAGGACTTCCAGGGACAGAGTCAGCACAGTCCAAATCCGGAAAACTACGAGCTCTCAGCACCCCAAATGACAGACACAGGGGTCTTCAGGGCTGAAAAACCTGCTGGATTTGGGGAGGAGTCAAAAAGCAGCCTGGAGGTTGCATGCCCACACAGTTACATCCTGTTCCACACCAGGTAAACTTCCAGCCACCTTGGAAAACCAGGGAAGTGCTGCAATTTAGGGCTTAGCTTAATTAAAAAGCTATTAATTTCAGGAGTCTGCATCACCCAAGCAGGTCCTTACCTGAAGAGAGCTGCATCCATGTAGCAGGAATTACAATGGCCTTGGATGCCCTTCATCCGCCCTTGGAGAACACGGACTGCTGCCTCATTCCTGAGGGGAGGAAAACTCTCTGGACCCTCTGGAAGAACTTCTTGTCCTCCTGCAAGAAAAGGAATTGCCTTCACCTTCTCATCTGGGTCAACTCTGCCCTTCCTTGATGCCTCAAAACTCTGAGGTGAGTCTCCAGCTGTCAGACCTGAGGTGGCTCCTCATGAATCACAATCTTTCAGACTTGAGGGATATTCCCTAAGGAATCATTTAGATTGGAAAAGACCTCTAGGATTGAGCCCAGCTGTTAATCCAGCCAAAGAGGTGGTGTGGGATAAAGACCAAAAACCCAATGCTCGTAGGAAAGGAAGAAATGCTGCCCATGGGGTGTTTCCCTATCCTTTTCCCAGCCCTGTTTTCCTGCTTCCCAGAGGACTCACTGTAATCCCCGAGGGAGAGGTCAGAGCTGGGAAAGCTCTGGAAGCGCACGTCGGGCTGGCAGGAATTCAGCCTCACGAAGAGGCCGCGCTTCGGGGCGCAGTGGAAGTAGGACTTGCCCAGCCACTCTCCAGCTGTGACCCCCTTGTCTTCATCCTGGGAAAACAGCACCAGAGACGAGCCTGAGAGTGGGATTTATGGAATTCTGGCTGGAAAAGAGGCCTCATATCCAGTCTAGCTATGCATGAGATCGTGTCCCCAAAGTGCCACATCCACAGGGACGGGGACCTCACCCCTGCCCTGAGCAGCTGTGCTAGGGCTGGACAACCCCATCCATAAAGGAATTTTCCCAATATCCAACCTAAACACCCACTGGAGCAGTTTGAGGCTGTTTCCTGTCGTTCTGTCCTTTGTTCCCTAGGAGCAGAGCCCAATTCCCACCTGGCCCCACCCTCCTGTTAGGGATCCAGATGGTTCTCCCTGAGCTTCCTTTTCCCCAGGATGAGCCCTCCCAGCTGCTCCTGGCGCTCCAGACCCTTCCCAGCTCCATTGCAGCCCCTCAATATCCTGGGGGATCCCAAAATTCCACCCTCCATATTCAGCCACTGCCACCAGCACTCCCAGGCCCTTTCCCAGCATTCCAGCCTCACCAGCTCAACTCCAGCCATTTTGTCCTTGATTTGGGGCAGGAAGCCCAGCCAGCGGATGATTCCTGAAACTTGATTCCCTTTGTCCAAGGTAATCTGGACCATGGAATTCACTTCCAGGGGTGAATTCCCACCTTCCCCCTCCTCGCTGCTCTCGCTGATCTCTCGTTTCATTGGGTTTGGTTTCCCAAAGCCCGCGTCGGAGTTGAATGTTGGGAAAAAACCTGGTGGGCAACAGGAAACATCAGGAGAGCTGGGAACTGGATCCTCTGGATCGAATTCCAGGTCTAGTTTGGAAATTCCAGGCTACACACACAGGCAGGAAGCTGAGCACCAGGGACACAAGGTGTAATTCCCAGTGTGTCCAAGCTGGTCTGACAGGATGAGAGGGAATGATCCTGCTCCTTGTTTCCCTGCTCAAAGCTTCACATTCCAATCTCCTGCCCTTCCCAGGCTACTGGAGTGGCAGCAGGGGGGTTATTTCCTAATTTTTCTACTAATTCCTTGCCTTGTCTAACAATTCCCACCATTGCTGCTGGCACCTGAGACTTTCCCACCAGGATGAAGCTCCTGCTCCATCTTTTACAGCTGAATTAAAGACTTTTTAACCAGTGGTGCCTTTTCCCTGAGGGAATTCTCTGCTACCATCAGCCTCTCCTTCCTGACAAATGGGATTCAGCTTTAGGTTTGTGTGGAACTTGGGATTTGTCCATAAATCCCAGTCCATTAAGAAAAGCTGTAGGTTTCTACTGGAATTTCAGCTCCTCAGTACCCTGCAGAGAGGAAATAAATTCCAAATTCCCCCAGAACGGGATCAGGGGAGACACATCCAAGGATCACCTACTTTGCAAGCTCTCCTTCACAACAGACTCCATGGGGATTTCCCTGAAAATGTCAGTCGTTCCTTCTTCTTCCTGAAAGGAGCGAAAAAAATCCATCAGCTAGGGAAAAAAACATCAGCTCAACACTGGAATATGAAGGATTTTTTTAAAAGAAGCCAGGAAAGTTTGCACAGAACTTCGCATCCTTTTTGGATATTCCTTCTATTTCACGTCCAACCATAATGTGATTTTTTTTTTTCCCTCTTTAAAATCCCAAGAAAACCCATGGAAAAGCTGCTCTTACCGGGCAAACCTTCACGAACCACTGGCTCCCTTCCCTGTAAACTGCCATGGCAATTCCTTTGGTGGGGATCTCATCCACGAGGAAGCTGACGGCGTCTCCCACTTTCACGGGAACCACCTCCTCCGTGTCCTGCTTTCCCGGCTTCTGCTTCCCATAATCGTTGCCTGATGTGGGAATAAACTGGATTTTGCTGAAGGGCAGGAACATCCCACAGTTCCTCTTGCACTTGAAGTACTCGGTGCCGTGGTAGGACCCGTCGCTTCTCCCTCTGTTTTCCCCCTCTCCCTGAAAACACACCAGGAAGGGACGTCACACACAGAAATTCCTTGGAAAAATGAGGAATTCGCTGCTTTGGGCCCCTCCTTACCTGCAATTCCACCCCGAAAAACACCGGAGTCAGCACAGCCAAGCTGGGCTTGTAGATGCTCCCGATGTAGCGTACAACTCCCGGGAAAAATTCCCTCTCCACCTCCACCAGGACATTTTGACCCGGCACGGCTCGGAGAGCTCCTTCCAGGCTCAGCCTCTCCAGGAAAAATTCCAAGCGCTCGCTGTGGCTCCCGATGGCCAGGAGGAATCTGGCAGCCTCCTGGCGCAGGGGCTGCAGGATTTCCAGGTTGATGGTGACCGTGGAGCTGTCATCCAGCATGACAACCTTCAGGAAGCAAGCTGGAGGCCCATCCTCGGAAAAATTCCGCAGGTAGCTCCTCTCGCTGCAGAAACACAAATTCCCAGCTTGGAAGTATTTGCTTCCATAGGCACAGTCCTCTGTCAGGATGTAGAAACAATTCCTGTCTGCTGCTGGAGGCGGGAGGTTGGACATGGCAGATCCCCCTGGGTTGGGAGAGCCACAGAAATGGAGATTTGTGAGCGTCGGAGAAGAATTCCCAGAAAATGTGGGGTTGGAAGAGCTTTTGGACCCAACCCCGCGCTCAAAGCCTCGCCCAGCTGAGTTTGAGCAACTCCCAAAGCTTCCCTGCTCCCCTTTTTCCAGGTGTTTAATCACCCTGGTGGTGATTCAAAATTCCATCTCACCCGGTTTCCCACATTCCTGCTCATCCCTGTGTTTCCATGGGAAAAGTCCAGCTCTGCTTTCTCCACTAAACCCTCCCGGGATGAGGTTGTACAGAAAAAAAAACAAACCTGGAATGGTTTGGGTTGGGAAGTTTGGGTCGGGAGGAACCTTAAAGATCATCTCATTCCACGGGCAGTGACATCTTCCCCTATCCCAGGTTGCTCCAAGCTCCATCCAACCACACCTGGAATAATTCCAGGGATGGAGAAGCTGCTCCAGCTGGTCCAACCTGTTCTGACACTGTCCAGCCTCATTAAATCCCACATTTTCCTTCCTTACTCACGGGAAGCGAGGCAAAGGATCAATCCCGCCTTTTAAAATTCCTTGGAAAAGGGATTCCCGCTCCCCTGGAGTCGCTACAGCTCATGAATATTCATTAATATTTTGAATATTCATTCAAAACATGCAACTCACCCCCTGAGGTACCAAAGATCTCCAGCATTCCTAGCAAATATTTATTTATTATATAATTGATATTAAAAGAAATGCAAGTATTTGGAAGTGGGAATATATTTTGGTGCTTATTTTTTACTTCAATTCTGACAAGTGAAAATTCCTGTTGTTAAAATTCCAGTAGTTTAATCTGACGGGTGACATTCTAATATTTAAATTCCACCAATCATTAAAATCCAGGCATTGAATTCCACTTTTTATCCTCCTCTGTCTTCTCCTTCGACAGAAAATCAGGATCCAAAATTTTTGTTTCAACATGAAGAAAGGGTGAATGAATAAAAAAAAAATTAAAAAAACATTTTCCTCACTAAAAACCCAAAATAAATTGATTTTTTTGCTCATGAAATTCCCAATAATAAACGATTTAATTAACTAAAACCCCAAGAATAAATTTTCCCATAAAAATAACCAAAAATAAATGTCCCTCATCAAGGCCATTTTCCTCATGAAAGCTCCAGAACAAACCACTTCCCTCCTAAAAACCACATAAATAAACAATTTTCCTCATAACAAGCAAAAAATAAACACGTTTTTATCACAAAACCTGCAAGACTAAACTATTTTCCTCATCAAAAAGCAAGAATAAACCATTTTATTTACCAAACCCCAAGAATAAACAATTTTCTTCATCACGATCCTACAAGAATAAATAATTTTAGGCATTAAAAAACCCACAAATAAACGATTTTCTTCCTTAAAAGCCAAAAATACATTTTTTTCTTTTCCTCAAGAAAAACGCAAAAATAAGCCACCTTCCTCATCAAAAACTACGAATAAACCATGTTCCTCATTTTCAAAAAACAAACCTAATTTCTTTTCCTCATCAAAACGCCGGAATAGACCCTTTTTCTCATTAAAAAAAACCAGAGAAGGAACAATTTTATTCGCCAAACCCCAAGAATAAATAACTCTCCTCACAAAAATAAACAAGAATAAACTAAATTCCTCACCAAAACCGCCAAATAAACCATTTCCCTCGCGGAAACACAGCAATAAACCCTTTCCCCACCAAACCCAAGTGTAACCCTGTTGTTTAAACCAGAATATTCCCAATTTTTTTCCGGTTTATGGGAATAAACCCCCGCTCCCAGGGCTCGACCCCTCCCCCCTCCCCTCACCGTTTGCGCCGCCGCTCCGGCCCCGCCACTTCCGCGTCCGAGCGCGCGCGCGGCCCGCCAGCCAATAGGGAGCGGCGGGGAGAGGAGGAGGACCAATAGGAGTGAGGGGGCGGGATCACAAGCGGGAGAAGGGGCGTGGCTAAGCATCGGGCTCCGCCCCCTGTCACCGGCCTGGGGGGAAGGCGGGAAATGCGTGAGGGGCGGTGTGGGGGGGTGATTCCATGGACCGAAATCCTTTGGAATTCGCGGGTGTTTCCATGGTCCCAAAGCCTTGTGGATCCTGGAGTGTGTGTCCCCAGGGACCCAAGTCCCTGTGTGTCCCAATGGACCCAAACCCCAGTGGATTCACATGTGTTTCCATGGACCTAAATCCCTTGGAATTCGCGTGTGTTTCCACAGTCCCAAAGCCCTATGGATCCCTGAATCTGCATCCCTATGGACCCAAGTCCCTGTGTATCCGGGGTATGTGTCCCAATGGACTCAAAAACCTATGGATTCACATGTGTTTCCATGGTCCCAAATTCCTTGGAATTTGCATGTTTTTCCATGATCCCAAAGCTCTACAGATCTTGGAGTGTGTGTCCCGATGGACACAAATCCCTATGGATTCGTGTGTATCATAATGGGCCCAAATTCTAGTGGGTTCACATGTGTTTCCATTGTCCCAAATCCCACTGGATTCACATGGGTTTCCATGACCCCAAAGCCTTATGGATCCTGGAGTGTGTATCCCCATGGACCCAAATCCCTATGGATTCATGTGTATCCTAATGGACCTAAATTCTAATGGGTCTTTCCACGGACCCAAATCCCTGTGGATTTGTGTGTGTTTCTATGGACCCAAAGCCCTATGGATCCCTGAATCTGCATCCCAATGGACAAAAATCCCTGTGTATCCAGGGTGTGTGTCCCCATGGAGCAAAATCCCTGTGGATTCACATGTGTTTCCATGGTCCCAAAGTCCTTGGAATTTGCGTGTTTTTCCATGATCCCAAAGCTCTACAGATCCTGGAGTATGTGTCCCGATGGACACAAATCCCTATGGATTCGTGTGTATCATAATGGACCCAAATTCTAGTGGGTTCACATGTGTTTCCATTGTCCCAAATCCCACTGGATTCACATGTGTTTCCATAACCCCAAAGCCTTATGGATCCTGGAGTGTGTATCCCCATGGACCCAAATCCCTATGGATTCATGTGTATCCTAATGGACCCAAATTCTAATGGGTCTTTCCATGGACCCAAATCCCTGTGGATTTGTGCGTGCTTCTATGGCCCCAAAGTCCTGTGGATCCCTGAATCTGTGTCCCCACGGACCCAAGTCCCTGTGTATCCAGGGTGTGCATCCCCATAGAACAAAATCCCTGTGGATTCACATGTGTTTCCATGGACTCAAAGCCCTATGGATCTGTGTGTATCCTAATGGACCCAAATCCCTATGGATTCATGTCTGTACCCATGGCGCCATGTCCCTATGGATCTTTGTGTGTATTCTCATGGGCCCAAATCCCTATGTATCCATGAATATGTATTCCCATGGACCCATGCCCCTATGGATCCATGTGTGTCCTAATGTATCTAAATTCTAATGGATTCACATGTATTTCCATGGATCCATGTCCCTATGGATTCGTGTCTGTCCCCGTGGACCCCAATCCTTATGGATCCATGAATTTGTGTCCCCATCGACCCATGTCCCTAAGGATCTGTGTGTTCCCATGAACCCAAATCCCTATGGACCCATGTCCCTATGGATCTGTGTGTGTGTCCTGATAGACCCAAATCCCTATGGATTTGTGTGTGTCCTAATGGACCCAAATCCCAATGGATTCACATGTGTTTCCATGAGCCCATGTTCCTGTATCCTTATAGATCCATGTGTGTGTCTCCATGGTCCCAAATCCCTATGGATCCATGTGTGTGTGTGTGTGTCCCCCATGGACCCGTGTCCCTGTGTCTCTGTGGATCCATGTGTGTCTCCATGTCTTTATGTCCCTATGAATCGTGTGTGTTCTCATGGACTTAAATCTCTATGGATCCATGAATTTGCATCCCCATGGGCCCAAATCCCTATGGATCCATGTGTGTCCTCATGTCCTTATGTCCCCATGAATCCCTAAGGATCTGTGTATTCCCATGGACCCAAATCCCTATAGATCCATGAATTTGTGTCCTCATGGACCCAAATCCCTATGGACCCATGTGTGTCCCCATGCCATGGCCCTGTGATCCTGCATCCCCATAGCTGGGTGTCCCCATGGCCCTGTGTCCCCACAACCTCATACCCATTGTCCCTGTGTCCCTCTGCCTTGTGTCCTTCCTGGGTGGCCTTGCACACCCCCAGGTGTCCCCACGGCTGCTGGGACAAGGGTGACACACTGGATCTGGGACTACCAAGCCACCTCCCGGGGGACATCACCCACCCTGGGGACATGGAGGTGGCAGCAGAGCAGGGAGGGGACACCAGGTCACAGCAGCGGGGTATAAATATTGGCTAAATAGATTTATTTTCATACAAAGAATACACAGGTCCCCCCTGCCGGGACACCCCGCCCCTGGGGGACACCCCAAGATGTCCCCAGCCACCCCTGGGCTGGCCACCACCTCAGTTGGCTTTACTGGCAGGATGTGTCCCCATTCCCAGAGTTTGGTGACAACTCTGGGTCACCTTGGGGACATCCCTGTCCCCTCTGGGGCCACCTTGCTGCCTGTATTTACCAGGTGCCTACTCAGGGCACCCGGTCACAGGCTTCTCTGCCTTGTGGGACAGCCCCAGACTTGGTCCCCTGCCCCCTCGGTCCCATGCTGGGACATGTCTGGACATTTTGGGGTCCCCCTTGTGCCCTAATACTGTGGCTGGTACAGACACTCCCTCCCCCACGCCTTATGTACACGCTGGATAAAAGAAGAAAATACAGGTATTTATAGCGGGGGAGCTAAACGCCCCCCTAAGCCCCCCAGAAGTGTCCCCTGTGTCCCCATCCTGGTGCCTCACCACCAGCCAGTCCTGACACCTGTGCCCAGGATGGAGGTGGATGGTCCTGCCCCATCCTGGGCCAGCTGGGCCCCTGTGCCTCAGTTTCCCCATCGGTCACGGGACTGCCATGGGATGATGGGACATTGAGAATGTTGGGTGAGGAAGAGCCACTGTGGCCACCTCGTGGGGACAAGGATGCGGTCACGAGCTCCAGGGAACATGGGATGAAGCTGGAGGCACCTGGGATTGAAGCCAGAGTGTCCCACCTCCCACCTCACCCCTGTCACAGGCACAGCCACCCAAGGTCCCCTTTCATCCCTGGATTTGTCACGCTGCTGTCACCCAGCCTTGGGCGTGGTGGGAGGTCTGGATGCGGCCACCCCACCTCCCTTTGTGGCAGGAGAGGAGGCGGCTGGGGGAGCTCCTCAGCTCGAGTCCCTCCAGCTCAGCTGCGTTTGGTGACCATCTGCCGGTCCCTCTTCTTCTTCTCCATCAACCTGGTGGAGAGCAGGGTGGTGGCCTTAGGGACCCTCCCCCAAGAGGGACCTCCTGAAGCCACAGGGAGGGGACAACTCACTTGCGGTTGCGGACTTCAGTGAGCTCCATGAGCCGCTCCTGGGCTGCCCGGAGCTCGTCCAGGCGCTGCTGGTAGCGGGAATCGCAGCCGTTGGTGCGCTCGTAGCTGGAGACCTGGCTGGAGAGCTCGCTGGCACGGTCCCGGAGCTGCTGGATGGACGAGTAGAGGTTCTCCTCATCTTCCTCCTGCTCCAAAACAAGCGTGTGAGGCTGGTGTGGTGGGCAGGACACCCCACAGAGTTGGTTCCCCTTGTTCCAGGTTTCCCAAGCTGCCTGGGCCACCTGCCTTGGCGTTGATGATTTCGATGTGGATGAGGAGGGAGGCAAGCTCCAGGTCCTCGGTGTAGCTGTTCTTCAAAGGCACCGACCGGTAGCCTGGACACAACATCACAACATGAGCTCAGCACCACAGCAGGGTCCGAGCCCCTCACCATGGCCAGGACCCCAGGGAGATGATGATGATGACTGCAGGGGTTTGCACTAAAAGACCTTCAGAGGTCCCTTTCAACCCAAACCCTTCTATGAGTCCATGACTTAATGATGGAGGTCATGATGGTGGTGATGACAATGCAGGGGAGTTGGACTCAATGACTTTTAGAGGTCCCTTCCAACCCAAATCCTTCTGTGATTCCATGATCTATGATGGAGATGATGAAGATGATGGTTGAAGAGGATTTGGACTGGATGACCTTTAAAAGCACCTTCCAACCCAAACCCTTCCATGATTTCATAACTCAGTGATGAAGATCACAATGATGACAATTGCAGGAGGGTTGCACTACAAGACCTTTAAATGTCCCTTCCAACCCGAACCGTGACTTAATCATGGACATCATGATGATGATAATGATGGAGACAATGATGATTGCAGGGGGGTTGGACAGGATGACCTTTAAAAGCCCCATCCAACCCAAACCCTTCTGCGATTCCAAGACTATGACGGAGATGACGATGATGATGATGATGATGGAAAGACCATACCTGTTTTGAGGCCCTTGACAGGGAAGGTGGCTTGTGCCAAGAAGTTGGGGTCACTGAACATGTCCTCCTCATACACCACGAAGCGGAGGAAGGCAAACTCGGGGTTGTTGATGTCGAAGACGAACTGCTTGAAGAGCCAGACGGGGTTGAAGCCATTGTCAGCTGTGGGAGAGAGCACAAAACCCAGCCCCATCACCCACATGTCCTCTCAAGAGGACTACAGAGAGCAGAGTCAGGGTTGTCCCTAAGGGTGGGGACATCACCCATGTGGTCTCTCACCTACGACATCCGTCTTGTTCTTGCTGTTGTCATACTCGGAGCCACAAACCTCCACCTCCACGAAGGGGCACACAATGCTCCTCCCGTTCTTGGGCAGGTGCCGGGCACCGAGGATCTGTGGGAGAAAAGGGAAGAAGAAGATGGTGAGGTCTGGCCAC